AGGCGCAAATTGATATTCAAGTCGCTACCCACTGGGAGGACGGCCGAATGTAAATGAACATAAGTTTTTCTATTAGCTCAATCAGATAAAATAAATGTTTACTATGAAAGAGCAATATGTCAGGATAACTTTAATATTAGGATTGATAATTACATATTTTGTAAAAATCAATTCTTTCATAGGGTTTTCTTCTAAAATCTTTTTGATTTAGAATGAGTATTATTCTCATTTATTTGATCTCTGTAAATATTTGATCTTTATACATGATTATTGATCCTAATTAACTTTATGGCTATCTGCAACAGAATCCCATTCAAAGACTGTTAGAATAATGAATACTGACTTTTGATTTCCTCTCATCAATGTAAATTAATCTATGATAACTTATCCTCTAACTTTGCCATCATAGACAATGGAAATGTTCTTATAACATATATTGGGGTAGGCTATGCAGTAAACTCAGCAGCTGACTATTCTGTATAAATTGATGTAGAAGCAACTACAGTGGTATCTATGGCAATCTTTATTTAAAAGATGTTGTTGCCATTTGATGTCGATTTAGCTTACAGGAAGAAAGTTATCTTTTAGAATGGAGCTAATACAAAGAAATCTCATTTGTCAAAAAGCATTTTTAGAAGTTGTAAGTCATGTTTGAAATTATATGCTTTGTGATGACTTGTTTATTTAAAATTAAAATAATTGAATTGGTTGTAATGGTAGCACTAGTATCAAATTTAATAATTTATTCTTTATCCTTCGATTGCAAATAAAGATCCAAGGTAATCAATAATGCTTGGATACATTTATAATCTTAAATAACTGTTAGTCATAAAACCATTAAAAATGATATATAAGTCCTCTCCATATTTGTGAACTGAGTTTTATGAAATCGCAAGCGTGTTGTTTTTCTTGGAAAAATTTCTATGGTCTATTCAATTTCCCATACTTTAACTTATCCTTCTGAAATAATCCTTTAGCAATCCAAAGTACAATTCAATGTTGTGCATCCATGGATATGTGTATCATTAATTAAATTGAGTAATCTACCTGACTATGGTATGAAAACTCTAATTTTTCTATCACTCCAACCACTTACAATGCTTTTACCATCATTCATAAAGGCAACTGTCCAATATTCAAGATTTGAAACTTATATTCTTAGGAATTTTTATCTGTTTTTAGCGTTCTAAACCCTGATATCATTCAAGGAACTGGTAGCAAATACATCAAAATAATTGTGAGGAAAGCCTAAATCATTAGTTCTTTCATTGTGACAAGTATTTTCTCAATTCTGGTATCAATTTTTCAGTGTCCAACCAATAAATATATTTTTGAATTGTTCCTGCGAAAAAATGAGTCTAACATTTGTAAACGAAATGATGTCACACCTCCAAGTAATTCACTGATTGCTACCAATCTATATTGTTTGAAAGAAAATTTTGCAATCATACCATCTACTGCTTCCACATTGATTTCTCTGTTTTCTAATAATCCAAAACAGTTAACTCCATATGAAAATAGCTTCTTGACTGGAGCTAATATTTTATAAATAGACTTATCCATTTAAATTTAAAATGCAACACCAGTCTTTGTTCAATTATAGCAATAATTTCTATCGATTGCAACACAAATAAAGGTTCATTTGACATTCCCAAAACATACATCAACAGATTGAATATATATATATAAGTATACATCATACTTCTTATTTTATTTGTCAATTGTTTAAAACTAAACTCCAATATTTAAAACCCGCAACATCCTTTTCATCTGATTAGTTGTTAAATTAGACTTAATTAACTGGTCTCGATTTCGAGTTCCATACAATGCCTTCCCTACTTTAATATCTCAAATTATCTACATGTTTATCATCAATCCCTCCCAATGATGCCAAGTATAATTCATTATGTGAGAAACTGAGAGATAAGATCAACACTTTATGTAATTTCAACCTATAAGTAATGTTTCTCTCCTTGAAATCCCAAATTATTATATCAGCTTAGAACCCCATATAAGTTTTCTACCAAAGGTGCTAAATCATCTTCAGTTCTAGAAACTTTTATTACAGAGATCTAATTGTTGTGTCCTCTAAATTTATATATGATTTTCTGTACCTTAAAAATCTTTATTGTCTATGTTATATCATACCTGATTGTTGGATTCAAAAACTAACACTAGAGTTATTTTCCCCTTTGAATATATGAAGTATACATACCTGTGAATCCTATCACTGCCTAAGTCTCAAGTTCTGATTACATTATTTTATTTATTT